CCTATTAAACATGTTAGTCAATCTACTTTGCCTTCATCCTCTCGTCCTCTTTATTTAAATTGTCTCCTGCATGTCCCTAATCTCACTAAACCTTTATTATCTGTTTAGCAATTCACACGAGATAATCACTATTTCTTTGAATTTTATTATGACTCCTGTTGTGTTAAGGATCTAACAACCAAGGAACTACTCCTCCGAGGTAGGGCTGATAATGACCTCTATAGGTTGGATCTCCCTACTCATGGTTCTTTGTCTACGACAACTTATCTCATTTCCTTAGTTCAATGGCAATGTCCGTTTAGGACACCCTAATAATTTCACTCTTCGTGATTTGGTTAAGCAATTTCAACTCTCTCATTCATCTTTGTCCACGTCTACTGATAAATGTGAGGTGTGTTACCTAGGGAAGTTGCATAGGGTTAGTTTACCTTCTACATTTTGTCGTAATTTTAACCCTCTTGATTTAATTTATACTGATGTTTGGGGTCCTGCTCCTATTTTGTCCTTTAATGGCTATCGTTACTTTGTGTTTTTTATTGATGATTTTTTTTTATTCACATGGATTTATTCCATTAAGCATAAACGTGATGTTGTTCATGTTTTTAAGCAGTTCAAAGCTCTCGTAGAAAACTAATTCGGCACCACTGTTAAAAGTGTCAACTCTGATAAGCGTGGTGAATTTCGTCCTCTGCATTTGTTCTTTAAGGATGTAGGTATTGTTAATCATCTAGTGTGCCCTCACACTCATGAGCAGAATGGCACTGCTGAACGCAAAATTCGTCACATTGTTGACATTGGACTTGCTCTCATTGGTCATTCTAGTACTCCTTTTCGATTTTGGGAGTTTGCCTTTGAAACTGTTGTATTCTTGATTAATCGCCACCCTAGTAAATCTCTTCAGGGTCAAATACCCTTCACTATACTATATCACCAGTCACCTGATTATACATTTCTTCGCGTGCTGTGCTATCTATCCTCTTCTTCGCCCATATAATCGGCATAAGTTCTCCTTTCGCTCTACTCAATGTGTCTTTCTTGGGTATTCTCCATCTCATCTCGGTTATCACTGCTTTGATGTGTTGAATAATCGTCTTTATGTTGCTCGTTATGTCGAGTTTGATGAGCAACTCTTTCACTTTAAAAACGTTCTATCTCAAGTTCTACATCCTCGTTGCCAGAGTCACCTGTCACCCCTTGGTTGCGTGTAACCAGTTCTCCTAGTGTGCATATTTCAAATCCTGTACCAGTTGCTACTCCTCTTTTTCCCATTCACATGGCCTATTTACCCAGTTCTCCCGGTCCTTCAGTTTCACCGGCATCTTTACCTAGTTCTCGTGCATCCGGCTCCCTATCATCCAAGTCCAGTTCCCCTTCACCACCACCTCCTCCTCCTCCTCTCTCCCGTGTTCATTCAATGGCACTCCGTCCTAACCTCAAGCCCAAGAAGATCTTTGATCCGTCGGCTCATCTTGCCTCTGTTTCACCACTTTCGCCTGTTGTCCTTACATCTTTTACTCAAGCTAAGTCTATTCCTAAGTGGCAAAAAGCCATGAAGGATGAAATCTCTTCCCTTCTCAAAAATAACACATGGACCTTAGTTCCCCCTCCTTCATCCAATAATGTTGTAGGAAATCGATGGTTTTATAAGATTAAGGCCCATGCTGACGGTTCTGTTGAGCGCTATAAGGCTCTGTTGGTGGCTCGAGGCTTCACTCAGTTTTTTGGAGTTGATTACACTGACACTTTTAAGCCGGTCACTATTCGCTCGGTGTTGACAGTTGCCTTAGCTCGTGGATGGTCGATCTCTCAGCTTGATGTTAGTAATGCCTTTCTTAATGGTATTCTGAATGAAACTGTCTAGATGGTTCAACCCCAGGGTTTTGTTGATCCCGTGCGCCCGCGTTATGTGTGTAAGTTGCATAAGTCCTTATATGGGCTTAAGCAAGCTCTTCGGGCCTGGTATTCGTGATTGGCTAAGTTTCTGGTCACCTTGGGATTTGTTGAGTCTCGTTGTAATCCTTCCCGATTTGTATACCACCGTGGGTCTCAGTTGTGTTTTCTGCTAGTTTATGTGGATGACATTATTATTTCGGGCAGCACTTCTGGTCTGGTTCGGCATTTTATTTATTGTCTTGCTCAGGAGTTTTCTCTTCGGGATTTGGGTCCTTGAGTTATTTCCTTGGTGTTGAGGTTCATTGCACTTCCCGGGGTTTGCTCCTCTCTTAGCGCAAGTATGTTACCAATTTACTACGACTTGCCAATATGCATACTTGCAAGCCTGTTTCCACTTCTATACAGGCTGGTGCTGTGTTGTCCCGTTTGGATGGTACCTTACTGTCTCCTGATGAGGTGACTACCTATCGCTGGTTTTGTGGTAGTCTGCAGTATACCACTCTCACCCGGCCAGAAATATATTTTGCAATTAATAACCTTTGTCAGTTTATGCATCAGCCCCGCACCTCTCATTTTCAGGCTCTCAAACGGGTCCTTCGCTATCTTTTTGGCACTATTGGTTTCTGTTTGGTTATACATCCCACGGATTTGGGTACTTTTACTGCTTTTAGTGATGCTGATTAGGCTGGTTGTCCAGATGATCGTCGTTCCACTACAGGATTTCACCTATATTTAAGCCCTAGTCTCCTCGCCTGGGAATCTCGGAAGCAACCCACCGTGGCTCGTTCATCTACTGAGATTGAGTTTCGTGCGATTGCTAATGTCTATGTTGAGCTGCATTGGGTTTTTCATTTGTTGTCTGAATTGTGGGTTTCGTTGCATCATTCTCCCTCTGTTTGGTGTGACAACAGTAGTGCTATTTTTCTTACTGCTAATCAGGTGTTTCATGCCCGTACCAGACATGTTGAGGTGGATTTTCAATTTGTTTGTGATCATGTTTGACGAAAGTTTGTTTCGGTCTGCTCTGTCTCTGTTGTTGATCAGATTGCTGACATTCTGACCAAGCCTTTGTCTAAGGATTAATTCTTTCGTTTCCGGGACAAATTTCGGCTTCTCTCTTGTCCGCCTTCAGTTTGTGGGGGTGTATTGTAATAATTATATTTACGGTAGTAATCTTTGTATAGGGTTTATTATTATTTACATATACCCTTGTATATTGTAGATTATAATGCAATAAAATACAATTCCTATTATTCTAACTCTGAAGCAGTCCATATAGTCCGATAAAAGAAACTGATTTTTTTTCCTGGTAACAAAAACTGAACGCAACTTAATAATTCCATAAACTAAAGTATTATAGTTCATATCTGTATTATTTTCTTGAGGCGGAGGAAGTAATTAAGAAACCACGAAACGTCGACAAAATATGAAGGGGAATGCTGTGATGGCTGATGCTAACACTAAGAAATCTATTGCATCTCTTTAAACGTGTTATATTGTTCAATAAAAGAAACGATAATAAAACCCGCCTTAGTTCCATTCATATTGTCAAAACCCAGAAATCCCTTATGCACCGTTTAGTTCACAAACAACATAAAACCACTGGGGAGACACAAAAAAAAGCCATTGCATCCTCCACCCTTAGCTTATTAGACGCGGGGAAATCCAATCTACTATATTACCCTCAAGGAGCTTGTGGCTCAAGGTGGCAAATAGGTAGATTTGGATTACTCATGATCGGTTTTTAGTGGTTATTAGTTTAATAGATAAATACCCATCCATATCCATTAAATTTAATAAACTTAAATGGATGGGTATTATATATCCATGAGTATCCATACATATCCGTAGATATCAATAGATACATTTATTGGACTTTTTAACATAAATCTAAATGTTACCAATTTAATACTGGAAGTTTAAAGACCGCTAGGAGAAATATGAACACCCCATTGACCGAAAGTTGACTTCTAATTTTACCCGTATATTTTAAATTTTAAATTTAAACTTTAAAACTCCAATTTTTAACCCTACATTCCAATCTTCTAATTTCTTTCAACCTCAAATACTCTAATCTCCAATCTTCAATCTTTGTAGACTTCAAATCAATTTCCGGAGGAGATCACCGTCGCGGGAAACATCCACTGGAACGAGTAAGTTTTCTCAAATCTTTGAACTTTTTAATTTTTAGAATATGATTTTTTTTTTTTTGAATCTGAAATCCGGTGGGCCGGTGGCGGTAACGTCCAAAAAGCCACCGACCAATCGACCTGCCGTCCCAGGAAGCCAAAGACGACTCTGGGACATCGACCCGTGATTTGGACGGTATGGAAACTTGACGGCAGGGACACCATCAAGTTTGGTGGCCACCCTCAGCGTCCACGAAGAAGACGACGGATGTGGTCACGTCCCTAGGAAATAGGGACGACCTAGGGTCCGTCCTGGGGCAGGGCCGATGGCCCAGTTGCCGTTGACCAGAAACGTGGACGGCAGGGACGCCGTCCACCTGTAAACAAGATGGCAGCATCGCCGTCTTGTTATTTCCTGGCTGGCAATGCCGCTAGCCAGTCATTTTTCTTTTTTTCTTTAAAAAAATAGTAATTTAATTATTTATTATTTTTTAATTATTTTTTCTTTTCAGTAATTTAATTTATTTATTATATTTTGGTGTTTTATAATTTAGTTTTTAATTAGTGGAATTTAGTTCTTTTAGTTTAATTAGTGTAATTTAGTTCTTTAACTTTATTTAGTTCTTTTAATTTAATTAGTTTAGTTTAGTTTTGAAGTACTATTTATTAGTATTTAATTTAATGTAGTTAGTTCTTTAACTTTATTTAGTTCTTTTAATTTAATTAGTTTAGTTTAGTTTTGAAGTACTATTTATTAGTATTTAATTTAATGTAGTTAGTTATTAAATAACTTAATAATTAATTATTGTATAAATATAGTTTATTTGATAATCAATGGAATTAATTTATTAATGTGATTACTATTAATTAGTATTTTTTATGATTAATGATTATATGATTTATTAGTGATTTAAATATTATTGAACGAAATAATTTGTATTAGTGTAATTATTTAGTTATGTAACTAACAGTGATTAAATGCAGGAATTACTTGACCGAATCAACAAAGAATCGGGTAATCGGCATGTGAAATCGCGAAATGTCCTGGGATCGGGTCGGAATGAAAATGAACATGTTGAAAATGAGGAGATGGAGGAAGAAGGGAGTGCCAACAGTTATGCACATAGAGCTGGACACACCTTATATCAGCAAGCACCCTCGTTTGAGCAAGAAGAGCATGTCCACAATGTTTCACAATCACAGAGTGGTGATTTACCCCTCCCTCCCCCTCTCCCCCCGAATTCGACGACTTCGTATTACCCTGCCTGGAGGTCGTAGTAGCACTGGGACTGGGACAGATTCCCGTAAGGGTCAGGTATGATTTAATTTTGTGTGAAAATTGAAGTTAATATTGATTATATAATTATTAGTTATTTGATGTTGAAGTTAAAAAATAACATCTAATAATTACATCCCATTTCTTTTTCAGGGAGTAGCAGTCAAATCGAAAAAATCGAATAGTCGGTCATGGATTGTAACAGATGCAGTATCTGGTGGGCCTGAAGATGGATCAGTTATTCTCAACATCAATGGACACGTTGCCTCTTTGTTATGGCAGGGTACGGATCGAGGTTGTCTCAAGTCACAAAACAAATCTGCTGTTTGTCAGATGTTTTCAGACTGGAAGAGTTCCCCAGGTTTTGACAGGGCGAGGCCGCTGGTTCAAGCGACTAGGTTGTCTCATCTTCCAGCACTGATGTTCTCGCTTAATAATATCGGCCTAGCATGTGCGTTCGTGGAGGGATGGCAGCCAGACACGTATTCGTTCCATATGCCTTTTGGTGAGATGACCATCTTGCTTCATTATGTCCAGTGCATTTTGTCCATCCATGTGGAGGGAGAGATGGTGACGGCCGTTCCCAAGTGGGAAACAGTGAAGAACTGTATGGGTCTTTTGAACATATCTGCGAAAGATATGAAACCCCCGAACAATAAGAATGGTGCTATGTCAGAGTCATTTGTCATGGACCGAGTCCGGGATAACACAAACCCAGAGGTACAGGCCAGTGCTTGGATGTGGATGATGTTGAATGCCACATTGTTTGTTGACAAGAGTGGGGGTGGCAGAATACATGCACAGTTGCTGCAAGATCTTTTTGATGACCTTGATGGTGTTTCAAGTCGTTCCTAGGCATCTGTGACTCTAGCATACCTTTAGCGCCAGTTAGGGGTTGTTAGTAGAGGTGGTGTCATACAGATGGGGGGTTGTTTGACCCTATTGCTAACCTGGATATATGAGTATTTCCCGATCTTCCGGCCTCATAACTCACACCAGGTGGGCAATGGACCCAGAGCTGCACAATAGAAGCCAGCTGTGTGTACTGCTTTAGAGGGAGAGGTGTGATTGAAGAAGTTACGGAAGGACCTTGACAGCTTATCCCCGGATGATATAAGTGTAATTGTTCCGATTTTGTTGTTTTTTTGCTTCTTAATATCTATTAATTATTTATTAGTATGTATAAATAATTTTTTATTTTGTAGGCAGTGTGGGAGCCATTCGGTAAGGAGATGTACAAGATGGTGCCTAAAACAATTTTCACTGGATGGCTCGCTTTCAGGAATTTGTTGAGCCACACATGCCAGATCGCATGCTTCGACACTCGGTTATGTGCAGATAATTCCTATGCCGATTGTTGTCCCGCAACTTGCATCGAGGTCGATGAGTGGCTTAGACTACAAGGTTGAGTTTTCTGAAGTGTATGCGGGTAATGCTTGGCTTAGATTCCCTGAGCCAAGATGCCTTATTCTCAGCTCGTACACTCGTTTGGCGAAGGCAGCATGTGCTGATGATTATCTTGACTGGTTCTACCATTATTCCCATCCTAAGCTTCTGCCCGAGAATGAGGGTTCTTCGATAGTCAACTCTATTCCAAGGCGCGCCAGTGTTCAATACGTAGTTGTTTAATATCTCTCCTGATTAAGTTTATATTAAATGTTATTATATAACAATTATTCTTGTTTGCGTCTACGTTAATGTAGTGGATAGATCAGTGGTCCGATCTTGCTGCTAGAGCTATCAACAGGCTGAGACTGACCGATGATGACTATGGCCCAGAATTACAGAAGGAGTATGAGGATCTCATTCTTGCTGGAGCCAGGCGCGCTGATGTCTTTTGCTTTGCCTTGTTTTTAAATTGGGACCATACTTATTAGTATTTGTTTAATTATGTTTGAGTTTCAACTTGGACATTGTTGTATTTGTGACCTGCGATTGTGTTTTTTAATTATGTTTTTTATATTGTTCGTACATTACAACTAAAATATATAACTGCAAACAAATTGAATGAAATTGTGCTAAATATAATAATAGTTAGGCGACAATCTCAAATACACCAATCCATAGATAATTGATACTCTACTCAACATCAAAGGGAGAAGACTGAGGGGATGGTGTCCGTCCAGTATCGGGACATAAAGTGTGCCAAAGATCTATTCTCTTGAGATATGGCTGCTCCCAACCAATAACGGAAGTGTCACGGTGGTGGAACCAATGATAAGGTATGGACGGGATTGGAAAATCTGAACCCACAAAATCTAGCGGAATGTAATGCTTGTAATCGCCTAGGTGAGCAATGGCAATCTCCCGAACAGGTCCGGTTAAAGGCCCATTAGGGCCCCTGCGAGCGTTGAGGGGCAATATAGTGCTCGATGATGTATTCATATTCTGACCTCTAACTCCACGCCCGTACAAGAGATAACCATGTTGAAGCGAGTGGTATACATGAGTAAGTCCATAAAAGTAATCATGTAATGATCTTCAGAACAAGGACTCTCATACCATCGTATGCATTGAACATGCTTGGGAATGTCCCTTTCGAAGAAGAAACCATACAAATTTGGACGTTTCTCTAGCTCATCTACGCCAATTCTTCTAGCATTATGCCATTGATGCTCGGATCAAACAAATGGCTCGCCATAACGCGGAATCCACACCCACCACGGCAACATATCCAGTAATGTAGGGAATCATAAAAGGCACAATCCTCTCTAGGTCACAATATTCGTAAATGTTTTGCTGTACCACATCTATAACGTGAAAAATACATTACCAAATATTAATAAACAATATATAGCGTTCGACATAAAATTTAAAAAAAATCATAAAAAATATTAATAAGGGGTTCTTACCTTAAGGAAACTCATCAAGCTGCTGAAAATTCCATTGAGTATAGACTTGTTCACGTGGCTTGTTCTTGCTTCCTTTAGTCGTTGCCTTTCTTCTTCTCCGATTGCTTCGAAGGCCCTCTATCTGGGTAAATTTGATCATAGAGCCAACCATTTGTCCTGCGCATAACAATGGATCTCTATTCTCGACTACGCCAACCAAATGTTTTCACAAGAATTGATCATCTGACAGTCCATCAGGCCTAGTATTGACGGGACTCTCGTCGATATTGAGATTAGCCCAAAACGGGTTGAGATCAGAAACCTGAATCGCCAGACCCGCGTCCACTGTCACCTTCATCTCACAGCCACAAGGAATATCATGAGTTAATCTCAGCTTATGAGCACATACAAACTTGTCTCCGTATGTATGCATCTTTTCATACTCCTTGTGCAACTTAAAATAATGGTGCGAAACTGCAGAATTGAGATGGTAAAATGGATGACCACGGTATGGTATTCCATTCTTGTTTTGCTATTCTTCTAGTGTTTCTCCTGAGTGACCAAAAATCATGAATAAATATATTAACACTCAAAAAAAATTAAAGATACGCACATGAATATAAACTAAGGCATTACGTACCCGATTTCAATTAGTTACACCTCAATTGTATTGTGCGCATTTCCCCAAATTGTGTCAATAGCACCTATTGGCGAGTCAATCCAATTTTTTAGTGCCTTATGTGCACTCTCAACTCTGCACGTTGTCGTGTTCCCAAGGTGCAACTTTTTATTCGTCCACGCACGTACAAATTTCTCTTTGTGCGGTAACCATGTTTCTTTCACATATGTAAGTAAGTCCTTATAAGGACTATAACTGCAATACCAAGAAAGTACTTAATCTTACTAACAACCAAATATTCTACTTCAAAAAAATAAAATAAAATAAAGTTATTCAAGAAAAACTTATTAAGACTTACAGTTGCTCTATGGTTCTGACTTGTTCTTCATATGCTTCCACAGTTTTAGCTTTCATAATTTTTTACCACCTTCCTTCCCCAAACTTTTTAAGAAATACTGAATTGCCACATTAGAGAGTCTGGATTTTGGTTCTCACATCTTTGTGGATGTGCCATGTGCTCAACAAGTGGGTAGACTTGGGAAAAACATCACTAATTGGTGCCATTAACCCTGACTCTCGATCCTCGAATAAAACCTTTGGCTGCTCTTTATCTCCAAGTAATAGTTTCAACTGTAACAATTGCCCTTGATAGCTCTCAGTAGTCTTAGATTCCAACAGAACATAGGTAATCAAAAAGTTCTTATTGCACGGAGTCATCCCAATAAATTCAAAAAAAGACATTTTGTACATGTTGGTTTTGTACGTGCTATCTATACCAACGACCAAGTGGTACCCTCTATACAACCTCACTGATTCAGGGTGCGCCATGAAAACCCGGGTCAAGGCCATTGTACTTGCATCTGACTCTGTCACATTTTGTAAATTTGACGCTTCGTAACATGGTCATCTGGATACTCCTTTTGAAGTTCCTTTAGAATGTAAATCGGTCTTACTCCCGCCGCAGACATGTCTTCTATCATTTTTTTTTACTCCCTCGCTCAGCTTACTCATCTGGCAATGACCCTCTGGATATTGTATCATCAGATGATTGTGCTCTGCCTTTTCACTAGTCTTTGGATAGATTCTGTACACATTGCTTGGTCATTCTTTATATGTTCTGATGAACACCTCAAATCTACACACAGTCACTTGGGTCTTTAAATTTAGTTGGCACTTAGTGGTTCCATCTTTGTACCTCTTTGGCATTTATCGTCCACCTTTCTTGCATTTAAACAAATACCCCTTGTCCTTCTGTGAATCTCTCACTAATTCAAACCATTGCTGATTGCAATCTCTTGTGCGCGCAAAATAGCGTCATCCTTTGATTGGAATATCTCATTAGTGTCAAAAGAAACACTATGATCTTCGTTTTCAGCTGTATCCTGCAAATCCAAACATATACTCTAAATAACTTATTAATAGAATACCTAATTACTCTTACTAAATTAAAAAAAAAAAACTTAAAATGGCATAATATAATAGATTTGCATGAATAAATAAGTTAAATAAATCATATTCAATTTAATTATGATGTAATAATTAATAAAACACG